GATAGTCATAGAATTTCTACAGTGTTGAAGCAGGTCATTCGACCCATCGAGTCCACACTGACTCTCCGACGAGCATCCCATCTTGATCCACCACCTCCCCCGCCAGCCCATCCCCCCAAAAAGGCACACACACTGTATCCCTGTAACGTTGCATTTTCCATGGCCAATCCACCTAACCTGCACATTTCGGACTGTGGAAGGAAACCGTAGCACCGGGAAGAAACCCACACTGACACAGGGAGGACATTCACACAGACAGTCACCCAAGTTGTGGGAATCAAACTGTCAAAGATATTCCAGCCATAGTCAGGCTAGTTGCCTTGGATAGTTTTAGGAAAAATCTTCCTGCTTTTATCCACCATTCCCCTTGAAATAAAGATCAACATTTTACTTGTCTTCCTATCACCAGGTGAACTTGGATTCTAGTTTTATTTTTGAGTCACGGACAAGGAATCCCCAAATCTCTCTCTTCAGTAACTCCCTGTAGTCTTTCACGATTTAAACAGTCTTGTGTTCTTCTATTCTTCCTTCCAAAATGCATAACCTCATATTTTCCAACACTATATTCCCTCCTCACTTTTATCCGCTCACTTATCCCGTCACTATCCTTTTCCGGAACTTCTGTGCCACCCCCACAACTTGCCTTTCCCTATCTTTGTGCATGGGCAACATTAGTGACAATACCTTCACTTTTCTCATCCAAATCATTAATATATGTTGTGTAAAATTGTGGCGCCAGCACGTATCCCTGTGGCACTCACTACTAATTATACGATACTACCTATGAAAATGACCCCTTCTCCAAACTCTGCCTTCTATTAGTTAGCTCATCCTCGACCCATGCGAATATACTAATTCCAACAGCATGAGCTTATCAAGGAGCCTAACGTGCAGTAACTTGTTAAATGTCTTCTGAAAAACATATTATACGCACTACTTCCCATTTACCTATCCTGCCTGTTACCTCCTCAAATAATTACAATAAATTTTCCAGCCATGATTTCACCTTCAGAAAGCCATGTGACCATCTTGATCCAATTATGTACTTATGTTCCACTATTGCATTCTTTAAAATAGACCTAAATAATTTTCCAAACGCACGCATTTAGCTAACTCGCCTGGTTATATCCTTTTCACTTCTTCCCTTTATAATTTAAAATTTGCTGTTTTCCAATTCTCATGGATTGTTTTCAGAATCTGAGGATTTCAATGACGTAAGTATTTATATTTGTCACCATGTCTTGTTTATTACCTTAGGAGACATTTCATTAGGTCCAGGGGACGTGTCAGTCATTGACTCCATTAGTACGTTTTCTGTCATGATAGTGATTTTACTTATTTCCTCTCCGCCTTTTTCAACTTGAATATGAGTGAATTTGCATAGCTAACTAGAGTAAAGATTTACGCAAAATATTTCATCGACTTCAATGCCACTTTCTGGCTCCCTGTTATTATTTTCCCAGCCTCATTTTCTAGGCTACCATCTTCCCTTCAGACCCACACATTTTTTTTAGATGTTTGAGGAACCTCTTGCCGTCCATCTTCATATTCCTTGCAATTTTCCCTTCACAGTCCATTTTCTACCTTTTCTTGTTTTCTTTTGGTCCTTCTATTCACTGTACATGTTAACTCGAAAAAGTTGCTTCCACTTACACACCTCAGGTCACGAGAGCTGATTCCATCCTGTCAGAAATGCTGAGGCATTGAGTCACAGAAATAGCTATGCACTAAGCTAAGCTTCTATATTAGCATCTGGCAGACAATGTGGAATATTATTCAAAATGTCTCCAGTTTATAACAAACAAGGTAATTCGAATGAAATCCCTTCTCCACACGAAACATTACAAATGAGGATTAGCAACGTGGTGGCACTTGTCCTCGACAGTTCTGTCAAGATACACTCATACTTATTCTAATGACACTGATACTCATTCGTTGTTCTACGCCCGTTGGGCGGATCCTGTTTTCGTGATAGACTCAGTACAATTATGTTAAAAGATTGGAGTTCAAGAAGTGTTGGGGCAAACTCTGTCATTCACAACAAAGTAGATGTTGTCCACACTGGTGTCAAGTATCCATGTAAAATTTGTGCCAACGGAAAAGGGGGGAGACAGAGAAGCGTTTGCGGTTGTTTGAGTCATGCACAACTTAAAAGAAAATGGTTCAGCTCGTTGCAGTTTGCTCATATAAGTCTCCGAAAGTACCTACAATATCGTACATTGTCTGCCAGATGCTAACATAACTATTTCTATGACTCAATTCCCCAGCAGTTCTGCCAGGATAGAATCAGCTATCGTGACCTGAGGTGTGCAAGTGGAAGTGACTGCTTCGCGATAGCATGTACAGTGAATAGGGCCAAGAAAAAGAAAAGGACGGGTAGAAAATGAACTATGAAGGAAAAATTGCAAGTGGAATTAATTGTTTCGTGACGCGATGCCTGATGCCTGGCAACTTCCACCTCTTTTCAAAGATTATCATTATTTCATCATTATGCCTGAAAGAGGTGGTTCCCTGAGGACAGCACTTATCTAACCTCTCTGGGAGGAAACGTCATTTTCATGTACATTATGCTTAGGAAAATATCAGACTTGGGCTTACAACTGGCAAGTAGCATTTGCACCAGAGAGTTACAAGATAACGTAGATCCCTCACCAAATCAATACAAAAATCCCAATATTAGCTATGTCAAAAGCGTGGAATAGTACATCAATCTTTTTAAAGGGCTTCTCTCTTTGCAAAGTAAATGCCTTGTTTAACATCATTGCACAAATGTTGGCAAACTGGACACTTATGAACGTCGTGTACATTTTGACCTGCCAGTTGCTTTCCCAAATGCCCAGCAGAATATTGGCCTCAGTGTTTTCTGCTTCTGGAGTGAGTTGTTTATTCATCCACCACGATTTATGACAGAATACGGTAGAAATGCAGAGCTTAGATCGCATTGGTTGATCATGTGACTGTTTACCTCTGTTGTTTGCCGCTTATGCTATGTTGAATGCAAATTGTCCTATTTTCTTGCTTCACCAAGTTAACACCTCATTTAATATGATATATGTAGTGTTACTCCTGGTAAGTCCTCCTGCAACTTTCATGGAACCAGAATTGATACCCTCCCTAATGGTGATAACTTGATGGGGGATGCTAGAACTGATGTTCTGGCGAAGGGTCACTGGGCTCAAAACGTCAAATTTGTTGTTCCTCTCCACAGACGCTGTCAGACCTGTTGAGCTATTCTAGGAGTTTCTGTTTTTTAATAGTTTCTTATCGCAAACACCTGCAGTTATTTAATTTATGCCGGACCGTAGATTATGTTTGATTATGATTCTGCTGGCGCTGGTGGTCCACAGCGGCAGTGCTTGTCTGGTTTACCAGTTGCTAGATCTATTCAAAGTCTATTCAATTCACCATGGTGACCTTGCCACCCAACATAGCATAAATTATTCTCAGTGTGAAGAGGGACTATGTCTTCACTAGGACTGTGTCGTGACCACCTTTACAATGCTGTTATGGATAGATGCATCTATGACAGGTATTTTGGTGAGGACGAGTCAAGAATGTGTTTATCCCCCCTTCTATGTTGCTTAAAACTCGACCAGCTGAATGGTGTGGAAATTGATTGTAAGGTCTTCATAACAAGGTGTATTCGGGAAGGATACTTCCTCTTGCCACTATAACAAAATGACACAGATTTTAGCAAGTGCCAGCCATTAAAAAGGAAGATGAAGACAATTGCGATTTGTATCAGAGTCCATGATTCTTTGGAACTCCCGTCCCCAGATAGTGTTGAAGATGGCACACCGACTTTTTTAAGGCAGAGATAGGCATATTCTTGACTAACAATGAAAATAAAGGCTACCTGTGGTAGCTAGATTTAGACCAAATATCATCTAACTAAGTGACAAAACAGGTTTGTGTGGCCAATTGACTTTTAATTTCCATGCTCTTGACAGATGAAAAATTGTGCATAGGGGACGGCATATGCTTTAATTTGTAGTAAATCCTACTAGCAAGATCCAGAACATTTTCAGAAAAGATATTCTGGACGTTCATGACGCGCATATAGCTGCCATCCAATCCCGAGGATTTATCACTCACACTTGAATATTTCAGGCATTGATTTATTCCATTTCACAATGTAAAGATCCTTGGTTTCCATTCCGAGCCACCATTAAACTGGCTTTCTCAGCCATTTTAGGGGGCAGCTGAAAGTCAATCAGATTATGGTAAATCCGACCAGGTAAAGGCAAAAGAGTTTGCTCACCAATGTAAAGAAACTGATATTTTTTATGATGCACCATGACAACTTCATGGCAGGGTAGATAAAATTGTGTTAAACATTAGTTGCTGCCTTAATCGACAAATGTCGCAAGAAATGTAACGTTCAGCCTCCTCAGTGGAACCAAAAGTTCCTCTCCTGACTGAATGTCAGAATTGCAAGTTCATTGACCTTACTGCCACAGACCTGGGACTGTTTTGGGGACCTGAATTGGAATGATACCGTGGTAGATGGTGTAAACCGAACTCAATGAAAAGAAATATGGAATTAAGAGTGTAACAAAGACCATGAAACCGTTTCCGATTGTTGGGAAATCCCATCTGGTTTGCTGATGACCTTTAGGGAAAGAAATCTGTTGTCCTTACCAAGTCTGTTTTACCTGTGACTCTAGACCACAGAAATGTGACTGACTCTTGAGTACTCCACGAGCAATTAAGGATTGGCAATGCATGCTCGGCTAGCCAGCAATGCCCACGTTCCAAGGTTGGAATAAAATAGAAACCCTCCATATTCCCTGTCCACCAAACCTCAATAGGAAAGTTAACAGCAATGACTGCTGCATTGGGACAATGTTCATTTTATTCATCTAAATGAGGAGGATGTCAGACCGTTTCAAAGTGAATGATCGTATAAGCAGCAATGACGTGGGATGTCATTTTATCAGAAAAGACGACTTTGGAATGCAAAGTAAAATACATTTCGTTTTGGTTTTTTTTCCAGAAAATCATTTAATCAATTTAGCAAGTACACTGAACGGATATTTCACCAAATTCTTTACCTCGCCTCTGAATTTACTTTGGGTACCTGCATAAGTAAATGGGTTGACACAGGAGCTCAAAAGTTGAAGCATAAATCCACTTTCCTCCAAAATAAAATTTGATGCAACGAAATTTGTACCAGAGAAGTAAGAAACACTTGCAATCCGAACGTAGAGAAACGTTATAAGAAATAATGAATATAACAGGATGAAACTGCCTGAAATGGCGAAAAGTAAAATGATAGACTTTCTTCTGCTCTCCATCTCTGGGTCACTCTGATTCAGTCCGCTGTTCTGGTTCCGGAGTCTTCTGCGCGCACTATTGGCTGCTAGAATATGTCTGACGGTCAGAGCATTGAGCAATAAAATGAGAATGAATGGAAGACAAGGAGTAAAAATGCGATGGATCCATTCAAATGCGGCCCACATAACTGACGTATAAAACATTAATTTTATGCTACAGAACCAGGGTATGTCGTTAATTATGTACAAAGGTTCATATATGAAATACAAAAATGTATTTTTTAAACAGCTCAGTAAACAGACAGTTGCAATAACCCGTGCTGCTGTCTTTTCAGTGCAATATTTTATTTTTAATTTCCGGCAACATATAGCCATAAATCGATCAAAGGTGAAAACGACTGTTAACCAGACTGAACTGTCTATGGAAGCATAAATCAAGGCAGAACGAAGACTGCATATTGGAGTTATAGACAGGAAACTGAGTGGGAAATAAATCCCAGTGATCCGGTTTAATACTACAGCAGTAAGAATTACCAAGAGGTCTGTCACCGCCATAGACACCAGGTAATAGATGATACATGTGGAGAGACCACATCTTCTTTGAGACAGGATTACAATCACTGCAAGATTAGCTGTGGTAAAACAGAATAAGTGAGAGAAAAAACACAGGTTGAAAATGGTAACTTTTTTTTCTCTGTACATATGCCAACTGATTTGGTGATACTTTTTAACCTGCACATTTTAAATTAAAGAAACCATGTTACTACATATTAGCAGAAACGACAGCAATTTCATTATGTAGCTTTGGTTAATTGAACATTGGGTAATTAACATGAACTTTCTTTTAAAAAATCAGATTATTGCTATCAGTGTTTTCTTTTTCATTCATGAGATATCGTCTTTGGTGGCTGGCCTATCATTCATTGTCGGAACAACTTACTGCAGATACTGAAATCTATACTGAAAACAACAAATGCTGGAGATTACAGAGGGTCAGGCAGCATCCATAGAGAGAGAGAGGAAGCTAACGTTTCGAATCTAGATGCCCCTTCATCAGAACTGCATCAATTATTGCTCGTTCCAAAGTGGTGATATGGTGCTGCTGAGCTGCATTTTAGAACAACTGTGGTCTATTTATTACATGTTCACTCATAACGCCACTAGGAAACATGTTACAGAATTTCCACTCTTCGACATTGAATGATCATTGACATAGTTCCATTGAGGCTTGGAGGGGAAATCATGATTTTGCCCATTCAGGTGGTCCTTTTTATTCTATGGAAGATAATGTCGAAAGAACCTTTGTGACATTCAGTATTGCCTCTTGCAGATGATGCATACCGCTACTCCTGTGGAGAATGTAATGGAAATGGAACAAATCGGAAGCATAGAACAGAAACTTTTGTTCTGTGAGTTGTCAGCAAGCGCCGATTTCTTCATAGAAGCTTCAGGCCTGACAATGTTTCTGTTTTGTCCATGAATTGGATGCATCATAAACTATTTTCTAAAGTTCTGCTCAGTGGACAATTGAAATAATGTCATCATGGTAGAAATTGCAAGTTATTACCACTGACGCAAAAGAACAAAATGTGCTATGGCAGAACATATTGATAATTCATCCAGAATAGCAGCCCCAAACACATCATAGTTTTGCATTTGCTTCTTGATAACAAAGTGTGAATTCATCCACTGTACACAACAATAGTGCAATTAATCTCCAACTCCATCATGATCGTAATGTGACAATTCACTGAAATATACAGTGTCACAATGTACCGACTCTATAATTCATGTCCTGTTAAGCATGTGGCACCAATTTTAATGGACACGGTAGTGGGTTTGATATTGGCAGCACACTAACATTGCCAATAATTCAGAACATAGAATGGGAGAAATGGAGTTAAGATATGATGCAAATTGAAGGACGAGAACATACTTGAAGAAACCTGGACAACGTTTATAAGACAGAAATGAACATTTACATGGCAGGATAGAACAGACGGAAAGTCTTCTATAATGGAGGACAAATTAAACCATTAAACGGAGAACTTGTTGTTCTTAAGGGGAATGTTGCTTAATTAGAGCAGTAAATAAAAAAAAACACCAAATTCCTACAGTGTGGAAACAGGCCCTTCGGCCCAACAAGTCCATATCAACCCTCAGAACATCCCACCCAGACCCTTCTCCCTTTAACCCACCTAATCTACACATCCCTGACCACTACGGATAGTTTAGCATGGCCAATCCACCTAACCTGCACATCTTTGGACTGTGGGAGGAAACCAGAGCACCCGAAGGAAACCCACACAGACACGGGGAGAATGTGCAAACTCGACAGAGACAGCCGCCCGAGGGTGGAAGTGAATCTGGGTCCCTGGTGCTGTGAGGCAGCAGGGTTAATCACTACGCCATCGTGCCACCTAGTATTATTAATAATGTGGACAATAAAATAGAAGAGCAAATATACCGATTAAATCGAAGGAATTAGCTATCACACCTATAGTTCTCTACCTGGAATGCCAACAGCTGCAAGTATGTGATAGTAAAGAGCAAACACGAGACTTCTTGGTGAGCCATGCATTTCTATTAGAAGATCCGAGTGCATCTGCGCACTGCATAAAGCTTGCTATATTTATATTAGAAATTAGACTCTCGGGAGATAATTAAACATAATAAGACTGGTGTTAATTACTCTCACTGACAAAAAGAAAGATACTACTGTAAATGGCAGGTTCTCCACTAGAATGGATTACACTCTGAGAGATGTGAGGCTGCCCTGAGATACAGTACTCAGAGTCCAATGTGATCCTATTGGAATTCTTCAGTTAGTGATGAGAGATGCAGTTGAGCCTATCCCATTTCAGTCTGGATAGCTCAACTTCAACTCAATTACATTCAGTATCGATTGGTGACTACGAGTTATATACAATTTGCATACCTCTAGTTTTGTATTCTAAATGCACCGTTGAAGACAATTGACTGATCCTGTCCACACAACTACTTCAAGAGATGATTGGTTCATTTGAGTATGATTACATAAGATCATCTCTTTTTTACTCTCTAGCAATCCTGGAAGGAACTCTGCATCTACAATTATCAGGGTGACCTACATTATGTAGCCTCGCTGATAAATGTCCCAGACGAAACCCACCTCACTGCATTCTGAAGAAATGTAAAATATACTTTCCAACCTCGCTGCTTTCTGTCCCAAGTGGAATTTACACTTTAATATGGATTCCATGCGACTTAATCTTCTGGAACAGCCCACCATGAACGACCAAATGCTATGTGAAGTGCATGTGAGCAACATCTATTGCCTTTCTCTCATCAATTAGCCTGGTCATTTCTCAAAGAAAAATCAATCTAGTTTGTAAGACAAGAATTCAACAGTATTAAATCATGCTGACTATCCCTGCAAAGTCCATTATTTCCCAAATGCGATTAAATTCTGTCCCTAAAAATCTTCACCAAATGTAAGGCTCACCAGCTTACAGTTTCCTGGAGTATCCCCATTTCCCTTCTTAAAGACAGTAAAACATTACTATCATCTGTGACTTCTACCTAAAGAGGATACAAAGATCCCTGACAAGTTGCCAGCAATCTTTTCTTTTTCTATTTCCTATTTCTCTTTTTAAGTGTTTTTTCACTTCCTTTTAGACATTAAGAAATGCAAGCTGGATCAACTGTGAGATATCCACACCTCTCGAGACCGTCTGTTCCCTCCCCTTCCTACTGACTCCATCCTTTCTCCTGATCTCACGACTTGTCAGTTATTTTCTGTACTTTCTGTCCTGTCACTGTCTGATGTTCATCATTCCGTATGCAGCAAAGGTCTTAGTCTCTCTCTGCCTCCCATCTCAATGAATTTGCGGCTAAGCATCACATTGAACTCTTCTTCCATCACCTCTACTCTCATGCCCAATTTTGGTCTGGAACCCTTGCCCATACCAGAGAGGCCTTTACCCATCTACAACATTTTCCAACCACTTGGGTGCCTCTCTTGGATCTTTTACTTGCACTTGACCTATTCATTGAGATTTGCCCATGCAAAATCCATTGCCTTAATTTCGTTGAACACCCCTTGCCGCCCTTACCCATTCATACGTAAATCCCTCTCAACTGACTGCGCTCTGAGTTTGCTCTCAGAATCAATCTGGTCTTTGCTGACAAGGGTGGTGCTGATGTTGCGTGGTGTACTGACATCTACATTGTGAGTGCTTAGCACCAACTCTCATACACCTCCTTCAATCTCTCCCTACACCATGACCCTACCTTTATGCATTAGGCCACTATGTCCACAACTATCATCGACCTCATCTCATTGGGGGATCCTCCTTCAACACCTTCCCTGCTCACAGACACTCAACGTCAAAGTCCGTATCCATCCTTTCCCCAAAACCCACATCAGGATTGGCTGGGGAGATCCATTTTTTTCTGTGTGTTCCCAACCCCCAGAAATTATTTCTTCCTACTTCGACTCCATTTCTCCTCTCCTTGCCAGTCGCTCCCCACTGACGCTTCTGATGCTTCACGCTAGGTTCAAATTTTTCAGTTCATTGGCAACACATGCCTCTTCTTCTCCATGGACGTCCAATCCCTGGACACATCCATCCTCCATCAAGATGATCTCACAGCCCTCCACTTCATCCTGAAAAGATGGCTTGAACCATTCCCATCCATCACTATCCTCCTCTGCCTGGTTGAGCTCATCATCACTTTGAACAACATCTTCTTTAAATCTTCTCAATTTCTTCAGGTCAAAGTTGCTGTCATGGGTACCCACAATGACCCCAGTTATGCCCGTCTCTTTGTAGGATATGTGAAATATTCCTTGTTCCATTTCTACTCTGTTCCTTCTCACATTTTTTCTGGTTCATTGATTACATCATCAATGCTGTTTCCCCTTCTCATTCTGAACTAGAAAAAGTATTAATTACACTTACAATTTCAACCCTGCCCTCACCTTCACCTGTTCTAACTCTGACTGCTCCTTTCCCTTACTTGAAATCTCTGTTTTCATTTCTGGTGATAAACTGCCCACCGATATATACTACAAACCAACTGACTCCCGTATTTATGTCAGTTATGTCAATCCCCACTTATGTTTCCTGTAAGAACTCTATCCCATTCCCCCAGTTTCTCCTTCTCCATCGCATCTGTTCCGATCATTCCACTATCCACAGAGGGTCCTCAGAAATGCCTATCTGTATCCTCATCCAAGGATTTCCTGATAGCGTGGTCATCAGGGCTCTTACTGTGTCAACCCATCTCATGCCCTTCTACCCTTACCCCTTCCCTTGCCTCCCACAACAACACCAGTGTCCCTCTGGTACTCACTTAACAACCCACCAGCCTCCGCATCCAAAATGATTGTAAGCTGCCATTTTTGACAGCTCAGCGGGATGCTACGGGCAGACAACTATTGACCTCCCCTCCTTTCTCAACTTTCTGCATGGACCGTGCCCTCTGGGCACTGGTACTCTGCTCCTCTATTCCCAAAATTTCCACACACTCCCACAGCAAATTCCCATTCAATCACAGTAGCTGTAATAGCTGACCATTTACCTCTTCCCTCCGCAACATTGAAGGCGCCAGTCATACCTTTCAGGTGAAGAAGCGCTTTACAGGTACTTCATTCAAGATGGTCTACTGCATTCGCTGTTCATAATGCGGTCCCCTCTACAGTAGGGAGACGAAACGATGGATCGGTGACCGCTTTACAGAACAACTATCAGTGGTTATCAGGTTAAAAGAAGGCCAGTTGAATCAACCTCTCCTCAAAGGATTGCCATTCCAATCCCAGGATCAGCCTGACATACTAGATGAAGGGAGCATGTTTTCTCTACGTGGGGAGTCCAGAACCAGGTTCACGGTCTAAGAATTTGGGGTATACTTTTTAACATTGAGATGTGAAAACAAAGTCTTCGCTCAAAATACAACGAAACTTGTGGAATTCTCCACCACAGACGGGTGTGGAGGCCAAGTGATCGAATATGCTCGTAAAAAGTGATTTGTTTAGGTCAAAAGAGCATCAAGGGACTCGAGGAGGACGTGGAAACATGGTATTGAGATAAAGGATCGGCCATGATTATACTGATTGTGGAACAATGACGAATGGTGTACTTACGCTGTTAACTTCTTAGATAGTAGGAACTGCCGATGCTGGAGAATCTGAGATAACAAGATGTACAGCTGGATGAACACAGCAAGTTAAGCAGCATCAGAGAAGCAGGAAAGCTGACGTTTCGGGTCTGGTCCCTTCTTAGTTGTTGCTTTCTTGGTTGCTGTCATCTCAACTTCTTGTTTACGTTTTTCTTGCTGTTCTTTGTCCCTCCTCCCTCTGCACCAATTTATATTCCTGATTCTGCAGCTGCTCCCTACCGTGGTCTTTCCCTCTTTTCCACTGCTGCTGATCCTGCACTGCTGCACTTCTCTCTCTGCCTCAAGCGTCTGCAGCATTTTTTTTATCGACGCTGCTGGTGTCGCTGCCTCTGGATTGTAATTCAACTCACTGCTACTTTCCCTCTTTCCAGCTGCTCCCAGCCCAACCGCAATCTTGCAATTTCTGCAATGCATTTTAAAAATTATTTTTAACGTGCCGTGGGCATAGCTGTTTGGACAGAATATTCTGCTCGAACTGATGTGCTCTTCTCAAGGTGGTGGTGAGCCGCCTTCTTGGACCGGTACAGTCCATGGGCTGGAGCTAGACCGACAATACCCTTATGGAGAGAATTCAAGAATTTTCAACAAGTGGCAGTGAAGGAACAGCGATTTATTTCCGAGTCAGGTTGACAGTGGTTTGGAGGGGAACCTGTAAGTGACGGTGTTCCTACGTATCTGCTGCCATTGTACTTCTAGAAGTGATCCTGCTGTTTGATGGTGCTGTCCTCGAAACTTTGGTGAATTTCTGCAGTTGACCTTGTAGACAGCACACACTGCTGCCACTGAGCGGAGGTAGTGGAATGAGTCTATGCTTGCCGAGGTGGTACAAATAAAGCCGGCTGGTTTGACATGGATAGTGTAAAGCTTCTCGATAATTACTGGAGCTGCAACTCTCGAGGCAAGTCGACACTACTCTATCCCACCCGTGAATTGTGCCTTATTGATGGTGGCCACACTTTGAAGAGTCAAAGGGGAAGTTATTCGCTGAAGTATTGTTAACATCTAACCTGCTCTTATAGCCACTATGTTCATATCGCTCATCCAGTTGCGTTTTTGGTCAATTGCTATCCCAGGATGCTGACAGTGAGGTTTTCAGTGATGGTAACATCATTGAATCTGAAGAGATGGTGGTTAGATAGTCTTTTATTGGAGGTGGTCATTGTCTTGTGGTTATGCGGCGCATAAGTTATTTTTCAATAGTCAGCCTAAGCTGGATATTGTCCCGATTATGTTGCATTTGAATATGGGCTGTTCAATATCTGATGAGTCATGAGTGGTATTGAACATTGTGCAATCATTGGCGACCATTCCCACTTCTGACCTTTTGATTGACACAAGATAATTACCCAAGCATCTGAAGATGGTCGGGCCAAGGGAATTCCCCTGACGAATTCCTGCAGGGATGCCCTGCATCTGTGA